AACATCTTGACTAGCTACGCGGTCCTTTTCCGCATGCGCTCGCGCTGTGCTCAAAAATTGACGTCGTCAATCAATTAACATCAAGATTTTAGTTTTACATTTGACCTTTATGTCAAAAAATCTCTGAATTTTCAATCGGTGGTCGATGTTACCTGAGGACCTCAGGCTTCGTCCTTACTTCGTCACAGGACGATCGGAGCTCGACGAGCGTAGAGAGTGCTGGCGTCGTCCTGTGATGGTCGACGTATTTTTGCTTGCTGGGATCCGGCCGAATGACGCCACATGCAACGTGTAGGGTAAAACTAAAAACGCTTCCCTATATGAGATAATATGACAAAAATTGTTTTGGTCACGTGACCAGTCAATGACATTGATATTTCGCTGCTGGCGGTTTGGTGGAGGGTTAGGGTCAACGTTTATACATTATAGGGTCAAAGTTAGGACTAGAGTTGTACACTATTGACATTGTGAGGGTAATGGTTAAGGTTTATCACTAGCGACCTTTTCATCTGACCACAATATCGCAAAATGCTATGTTGTATGTCACGTGACAAATTTAGCCGAGGGTCGGAAGTCGGAAGTCGGAACTCAGTGGACTCTGTTGGAGTCCGGCGGACTCCGAGCGGAGTCCAAGCTCCGCCGGACTCCGCCGGATTCAAGTCCGGCGGAGAGGTCCGCCGGAGTCCGCCAAGCACTCCGCCGGAGTCCGCGGCGGACCGGAGTCCGCCTAGTGGCTTAGTCCGCGGCGGACACTCCGCCGAGCCGCCGCGGAGCCGCTCGGAGTCCGCGGCGGACTTTAAAGTCCGCTCGGAGTCCGCTCGGCTCCGCTCGGAGTCCGCCAAAATGTACTCGAGTCCAGTGTAAATACATTTTGGCGGAGCACCGCCGGACTCCGCTCGGAGTCCGGCGGCTCCGCCGCGGACTCTACTCCGCGACGGATAGTGCCCTAAATTCGTTAGAGTTTCATGGACTGGGGACAAATAATCAGTACAGTCTCCCTGCTTGTGTAATTAAGCAATGCAAACAATCCAAAATTATCACATATGACATAAGTTGTAATAGCATAAACTTTCTAACCGTACATTCACCCGCCACTGTTCAAGAACTTATGTCACTGTTTAAAATCTTGACGTGAGCACTGTACATCCAATCAGCTATTCCTATAGTTAGGGTGATAGCCAAAACTATAAGGATTTTGGAGAACTAGGGAATTATAGTCATAATTCTAAAATTTGAGTGAGTTACACGTGTTTTATTGACGATGATAAACGTTTGCAATGTATAACGCTATGCAAGCTCGCGCTGAGGGACTTCGTGACGTCACGAGGCCACAGCTTATTATTGCAATAACACGCGTTACACGTACGCTGGAGAGTTGGTTCTTTTGGCGATACTATTTTTTACCAGTTTGTGAGTTTGTCTGCACAGCTGATTTAAATCTTAGCCAAATTGGCGAATACAAATTTTTGAGTTAACTGATCCTTTAAGAATTGAGGTTTGAACGAACATAAAAAGTCTATTATTTGTGTTTAGAAACTTTGGTCAGCTTTTTCCATGGGACCTCATATTGACAGGCAAATTATTTCAGACTGGCAATAGGAAACGTCTGTCAATTCCACACGATTTGCACTTTCGCGAGACAAATAATTACAATGATTACCAGTGTCGCAGAAGTATAATATTTCAAATTTTGTGATCAGCAAGAGTTACTAATATGAATTACAATAAGTCTTACTCGTAGGGGGAGAGGGGGGGGGGGGGGGCACATTTTCAGGTTTTAGAGAGTCACACAATCTAAATAAATTTGAAAATGTTTACAGTCCCTACTTCATTCCCTTCGCCTCTGAGAGAATAAGCATCAGAGCAAAGAGTTAAGTTTTGGTTAACTGTATTAGTCATTGGAGTTTTTTTGAATTGAGAAAATGTGTCCCCCTACCTCATAAATCATAGATCAACCATAATAACATATAAATATCATATCAATTCATCTGATATCACATCGTCAAAGAATAAGTATAACATCCAATATATTTTCATCTAATATCACAAATAATATTCCTCTAAGTCACGAAACATTACGATCAAAGGTCCTTATATCAAGAGACTATTATTCCTTAACGTCACTTAACATCACAATCAAAGTCCCTTATATCAAGAGACTATTGTTCCTCAGAGTCACTTAATATCCCAATCAAATTCCCTTGGCCTTATATCAAGAGACTATTATTCCTCAAAGTCACTTAACATCCTAATCAAAAGTCCTTATATTAAGAGACTATTATTCAGTAACGTCTCTTAATATCCCAACCAAAGTCACTTATATCAAGAGACTATTATTCCTCAAAGTCACTTAACATCCCAATCAAAATCCCTTATATTAAGAGACTATTATTCATTAACGTCTCTTAATATCCCAACCAAAGTCCCTTATATCAAGAGACTATTATTCCTCAAAGTCACTCAACATCCTAATCAAAAGTCCTTATATCAAGAGACTATTATTCCTCAAAGTCACTTAACATCCTAATCAAAGTCCCTTATATCAGCTGAGACTATTATTCCTCAAAGTCACTTAACATCCCAATCAAAGTCCCTTATATCAAGAGACTATTATTTCTCAAAGTCACTCAACATCCTAATCAAAAGTCCTTATATCAAGAGACTATTATTCCTCAAAGTCACTTAACATCCTAATCAAAAGTCCTTATATCAAGAGACTATTATTTCTCAAAGTCACTCAACATCCTAATCAAAAGTCCTTATATCAAGAGACTATTATTCCTTAACGTCACTTAATATCCCAATCAAAGTTCCTTATATCAAGAGACTATTATTCCTCAATGTCACTTAACATCACAATCAAAGTCCCTTATATCAAAAGACTATTGTTCCTCAGAGTCACTTAATATCCCAATCAAATTCCCTTGGCCTTATATCAAGAGACTATTGTTCCTCAAAGTCACTTAACATCCCAATCAAAGTCCCTTATATCAAGAGACTATTATTCCTCAAAGTCACTCAACATCCTAATCAAAAGTCCTTATATCAAGAGACTATTATTCCTTAACGTCACTTAATATCCCAATCAAAGTTCCTTATATCAAGAGACTATTATTCCTCAACGTCACTTAATATCCCAATCAAAATCCCTTATATTAAGAGACTATTATTCCTCCAAGTCACTTAACATCCCAATCAAAGGTCCTTATATCAAGAGACTATTATTCCTCAACGTCACTTAATATCCCAATCAAAATCCCTTATATTAAGAGACTATTATTACTCAAAGTCACTTAATATCCCAATCAAAGTCACTTATATCAGAGACTATTATTCCTCAATGTCACTTAACATCCCAATCAAAGTCCCTTATATCAAGAGACTATTATTACTCAAAGTCACTTAACATCCCAATCAAAGTCCCTTATATCAAGAGACTATTATTCCTTAACGTCACTTAACATCCCAATCAAAGTCTTTATATCAAGAGAATATTGTTCCTCAACGTCACTTAACATCCCAATCAAAGTCCTTTATATCAAGAGACTATTATTCCTCAAAGTCTCTTAATATTCCAATCAAAGTCCCTTATATCAAGAGACTATTATTCCTCAACGTCACTTAACATCCCAATCAAAATCCCTTATATCAAGAGACTATTATTCCTCAAAGTCACTCAACATCCCAATCAAAGTCCCTTATATCAAGAGACTATTATTCCTCAACGTCACTGATAATCCCAATCAAAGTCCCTTGACCTTATATCAAGAGACTATTATTCCTCCATGTCACTTAACATCCCAATCAAAGTCCTTTATATCAAGAGACTATTATTCCTCAAAGTCTCTTAATATTCCAATCAAAGTCCCTTATATCAAGAGACTATTATTCCTCAACGTCACTTAACATCCCAATCAAAATCCCTTATATCAAGAGAATATTATTCCTCAAAGTCACTTAACATCCCAATCAAAGTCCCTTATATCAAGAGACTATTATTCCTCAAAGTCACTTAACATCCCAATCAAAAGTCCTTATATCAAGAGACTATTATTCCTCAACGTCACTGATAATCCCAATCAAAGTCCCTTGACCTTATATCAAGAGACTATTATTCCTCAAAGTCACTTAACATCCCAATCAAAGTCACTTATATCAAGAGACTATTATTCCTCAAAGTCACTTAACATCCCAATCAAAGTCACTTATATCAAGAGAATATTGTTCCTCAACGTCACTTAACATCCTAATCAAAAGTCCTTATATCAAGAGACTATTATTCCTCAACGTCACTGATAATCCCAATCAAAGTCCCTTGACCTTATATCAAGAGACTATTATTCCTCCATGTCACTTAACATCCCTTTGATAAATAGCTTGTATTACTGAAAGTCACTTGATTTTATAATCAAGTTACTTTTATTAAGTACCTTGTATTCTTCAAAGTCACTTAATATCATGATCAAGTTGTACTCTTCATATTAATTATTCGATAGAAGGGATTGTTCGCTCATTTCACTCAGAGATAATAGTCACTCCCACCAGAATGGTAGGAAATTATGCACATAATGTGCTCAGAAAGTAAATGTAGTATGTCATGAGTGAACAGTCCCTTAGATTCATCATATATCCAAATAATGTGATCATATCAAGCTACTAAGATGGACGACAACATTGTGCCTTTTCATCTGAGCAACTTAACATCATCAACTAACACTTTATAACTCAACTCTATATCGAGTATCAAACTTTAAATAATATTCTTCTTTCCGTGTTTTACAGGTCTTCTTCTTGGCGTCAATATCAGGGGTCGTTTATCTTCTCTTCGGTTTACATTTCTTCTATCTTCATCTGCATACAGTTGGTGTTTGAGAGGTGCGTGTGAAGCAGACTTTCACAATTGTGGGGTTCGTGTTGTGGCACTTCTCTTTTTTCAGCGAGCTAGTTTAGGGCAGGTTGAGGTTTACACTTTACAACGTATAACTACGTAGGTTACGACATTACCCTTGACATTTTTTAAGCCTTTTGTGCAGTTTCTCTTTTTCCGAAGTTAGCTCCTGATTCTCCTCGATGAGATACTGATTCTCCGTGGTCATGTCATCGATCAAGAATTTGTACTCCTCCTGCATAAGACAAAATCCGGCCTGTGCTTCGGTGAGTTGTTTGTTGAGGCTGTCATTGTCCGCGGACAGTTCCTCCTTGTCCATGGTTAGATTCTTCACCACGTATTTATAGCCGGCACAGTTAGACTCTAAAGAGGCGAAATTGTTTTTGAGTTCAGTATTGTCCCCGGAAAGCTTTATATTTTCAACGGTTAGGTTCTCAACCATATCTTTATAGCCGGCCTCCATGGCACAAAAACCAGACCGTTCCTCGAAAAGTTGTTTGTTGAGGTTTTCAGTTTCCGCGGACAGTTTTTCATTTGCCATGGTTAGGTTCTGGACCACATCTTTGTAGCCAACCTCCAATTCCATGGCACAAAAACCAGACCGTTCCTCGACAAGTTGTTTGTTGAGGTTTTCAGTTTCCGCGGACAGTTTTTCCTTTGCCATGGTTAGATTCTGAACCATATTTTGGTAGTTGACACAGTAGGTCTCAAAAGCGACGAGTTTGTTGTTGAGTCCTTTATTGTCCCCGGACAGCTTTATCTTTTCAACGGTTAGGTTCTGAACCATATCTTTGTAGTCGAGAATTTGTTCTTTCAGGTTTTCATTTTCGGTGGTTATGTTCTGGAACACTTTTGCGTTGTGATCCTCGGTTTCACAAAGTTCAGACTGCATCTCGAGAAGGCCGTCTTTAAATTTCTTATTCAAATCACGCAGCACTGTAATATCTTTTTCGTATGCTTGGTTGGTTTCTGAAGTAACGCGGCTAGGTAACAAAACTGAGCAACAATAAACAAATAAATTTCACCAACCTTGTGTACATTTTGTAAAATAATTAGCTGACCGAATATACTATTTATTTTTTGGTTGTTGATATGTGATAAGTTTTCGATAATATTTAAAATAATGTTTAAAATTTGAAACTGCACTTCAAATGAAAACATGAGCAATAAAACTGTTAATCGAGGAAGGGACTTACTGAATAAACCATTAACTCGCTGAACCAAACGAAATCTATCCTGCTCAACTTCCTGCAGTCTCTCGTACAAGTCATGTTCCTGAGTTCTGGCGATGTAAATTTCCTCTTGTGAAAGTCGAAGATAGTATTTTAACTGTTCAACCTCTTCTTCTGCATTGCATAAGGAAATCATCATGTCAACTTCGCGTTCTACGTCATCAGTATTAATAAATTCAGGTTCAGGTTCAGGTTTGACTGGATTACACTGGTTCTAGTGAAGGAAATCAATATTAAACATTTAAACTACAGTAAGTACAGTATGCCATCTGCAAAGCAACAGCTCTCAAATATAAAACACGGCGGAGCTATTAAGGCCAACGTATGGGTACTGACTTTTGGCCCACCCTGTACATTAAATTTTATGTTGGTTTGTCCTTGCATTGTGCCTTGGAGTTAGATTTCAGATTTGTTTTTAAATTCGTTCGATAAAGTTGCTGCATATTAATCTCGGAATTTTTGTTTTGATTAATGATTAAAAATAAAAGACTCATTTTTAATTATAATTTTGAAGTTTTATAAAATTTAGATACATATTGCAAAGTCATTATATTTATATTAGCAATTAGTGTGCATACTAATTTTCAATTTTTTATAATACGTACGAAACATTTATAATTTAATTGCAATTACGGCCATAATTTTTTGTTTTTATCAACAAAACTTTTGCCCATTAAAATTAGTTTTATTGCTACAAAATATTTGATCAAAAACTATTAGTGTGAAAGTATATTAAAATTTTGGTTTTTATGTAACGAAATACATTTGAATTGTATTTCATACAATTACAAGCAAAGAAAGCTGCCATTGCCAACTAACGCGCGCCGCGCGATGTTTCATATAATTCTGTAGGTAGTGCGCCATCGACAGTGAGCCGCGCGTGCCGACTGTAGGATGGTTTTTTAGCGCTAATTTCGGCCAGCACAGTTTTCTTCAAACAAATAGATATTCAGTATACTTCCCGACCTCCGATTGCAACAAAAATTGGTTAGCTTATTCATTGACTTACAAGGAAAGTGTCCGAAAAATTAAAAGCATATCCAACCATTAGACATTATGTTACAGCCAAAAGCAGCGCATTTTGCCCCATTTTCATCACTATATCAACTCCGATATCCACCAAATTTTTCGGACAGTTGTGAAAGCCCTATTGGAAGGTCGTCGCCAATTTTCAGAATGATTTCATTCAAGAAACCGAAGATAAATCCAAATAATACGACCAAAATCAACGAATTTGGTCAAATTTGGTCAAATTGCGCGACTTTTACAGCTACTTTTGCTCCAAAAGCCGCGCACCATCAAATATGGCACCTAGGCGAAACTCACTGATCTTTCCAAAAAGGTATGACAAATTTGGTATTGTGAAAATTCTCACAGTCTCTAGAAAACAATGGTACAAAAATTTTTAAAATCCGAGCAAGTTTATTTTTATCGTGCACCCCCTAAATTCTGGACAAAATTAGACATTCATTCAAAAACGAAAAGTTTTATTAAGGAGCACGTTAGATCCCCTAAAGTTGTTACTATGCGTAACTATGCGCCTATGTGACCGGTTTGATCCGGTTTGGTATCCTGTAACCCAGTATACCAAAGGATCGTGATTCGGTCTTATATTATATATTATATATTATAATATTATTATATTACTGGACGTTACCTGGGGACCTCAGTAGTATAGTGTCATGGTTTGGACCTGCATTCGAGCTCTATCCGAGACACATTTTACTAAAATGTCATTTTAGCACAGTTGACTAATCTACCACAACTTTAGTCGGAGGTTTCAAGTTCGAATCCCAGCCGGAGCCATTCTTTTATTTGACGAAAATGTTGACACAGTTGACTAATCTGCCACATTTTAGCTGAAGGTTACAAGTTTGAATCACAGCCGTAGCCATTCTTTTTATTTGACAAAAATGTCAACACAGTTGACTAATCTGACACATTTTAACCGGCCGGGGCCACAAGTTCGAATCCCAGTCGGAGTCGTTCTCCAATGTGATTACATTATTATGGTACAAATTTTAACCTAGTTTAACCCATCAATCAATTTAACCCTATATCATATATACGTAATATAACGATACAGATGTATCAACTTAACATGACGTTCGTCACACAACAAAGGCCGTTAACAGTATATAGTAATTGTATACATGTTCACGTAATAACAATACTGTTGAAATGATATGGTAGCGTAATGAGAAAGCACTTTTCAGGACGGTTACTCAATAGTACCAAGATTGTACCGTCATTGTATAGTATAGTTACGGTAACAGCTGTGTTTTTACTTGACAGATATTTGCTTAATTTAAGAACCAAATACAACTAAAGTGAATTGATAAAAATATGGCTTTCTTAAAAGAAATACGTGTCAACAGAATGTAGAAGCTGATAAATATATAGTGTACTCGGTCACGTATTATACTGACTGTTTGATATGAAATGTAATTTTTAGAGAGTACTTACAGGACGGTTACTTTACAGCCTCAAGAATAATACGTCATTGTATAATAACCATAGACCTAGTACAGAATAGTCACGGTAGCAGCTGTGCAATGTATTTGACTCAAATTGAATCTCTTTTCAGGACTGGTCTAGCTATTTTATATTTTCTACAATTATATCAGAAGATCTCAACAAATTGAACAGTGTGCGAGGAATTTTTAAATATAATAACCAATGAAAGATAAAGCTAATTCTTACCTCAAAATAATGACCGTCCCTCAACATTACAGCTCAGTGTTTGTCTTTGTTAAATATCTTGATAAGGTATAATTGCGAGCAGGTGCGTGTTTTACTGGACAGTCTCTCTGCGCTCCTGAAACGTTGTTTACACTATCATTCAGCGTTCAGTTGTGTGTTGTGTAAATTTTGACTCTGCTTCAGCTTTAATTGTTTTTATCTTTAACTTTATGCTTAAGTTTTTAATTCCTTTACCGTAGTCGGTCACGTAACATTGACTGTTTGATATGAAATCTAAATTATAAATAGTACTTACAGGCCGATGCTGATGGTTACTCTACAGCAGCTCAAGAATAATACGTCATTGTATAGCCGTAAACCTAGTACAGCATAGATACAGTAACATCTGTGCAATATATTTGACACAAATCTCTTTGCCAAGAACTGGTCTAGATATTTTCTACTTTCTAAAATTTTAATTATATCAGATCTCCATCAGGTAGTATGACGTGATGAATAAATATACAACTGCCAGTGCACCATGTTAATTACTGTTCCCAATATTTTAATCATACCCGTAAATATTTGCTCGGTATCTGGCAGCAGTTCATCGATTGATGTTCCGTGTTCTGTTTCCTGGTATTTTGTGAGCGGAATATTTTCTTGAGTAGGATAAGGTGAAATCCGTCACATTATCCTACACAATACTGAATCCTAAATGAATACTGAATACTGAATGAATACTGAATGAATACTGAATGAATACTGAATACTGAATGAATACTGAATGAATACTGAATGAATACTGAATGAATACTGAATGAATACTTAATACTGAATACTGAATGAATACTGAATGAATACTGAATGAATACTGAATACTGAATGAATACTGAATGAATACTGAATACTGAATGAATACTGAATGAATACTGAATACTGAATGAATACTGAATACTGAATGAATACTGAATACTGAATACTGAATGAATACTGAATGAATACTGAATGAATACTGAATACTGAATGAATACTGAATGAATACTGAATGAATACTGAATGAATACTGAATGAATATTGAATGAATACTGGATAAATAATGGATAAATACTGAATGAATACTGAATGAATACTGAATACTGAATGAATACTGAATGAATACTGAATGAATGCTGAATGAATGTTGAATAATGAATACTGAATAATACTGAATAATATACTGAATACTGAATGATAATTATGATGTATTATTTTTAAAAGTTATAATGTAGACAAGGAAACGCATGTTTAGATTTTTGAAGATAACTTTAACTAAACTATATTCAATAACTCTATATATCCAAATACTTATCTCAATAATTATCAACGTTTTGGTTATAAAGTTCAAGAATCTTCCTGACGATATATTTGTGAAAGTTTAAGAAGCTTGATGATAATATTTTTGTTCTCGTTCATTAGTTTGTTGACATCAGATAGACTAGTAGTCGTGATAACTGCAGTCAACAGAGCTTGTTCTTCCATACTTAAAATTTTGGCGATGTCTTGTCCACAGTCAATGAGATGCTGCTCAAATTTCTCAAACATTTCCGTTTTCATTATGTAAGAGAATAAAAAGTCCATACATTTGTTTTCCTCCTTACACAATTTACTTTGTAACAGGACATCTAGAGATTTGAGTAATTTCGACATATCATTTACCTTTTTATTTATTAGCTTGATTGCTACGCCTTTCCGCTTGCCTTTGTGTTGCTGAACTGAGTCAGATTCTAACTCATCACTACTTGACACACTTCTACTATCACTATATTGTGTTTTTGACTCATCATCACCACTTGTTTCCTCAGAGTTAGAACCGTCTTGTTGAGATTCTTCAGATATTATCGTATCAGCATCTGAATATGTGGAAGCAGGATAATCCAGTTTTACATCAGTCGCATCCGAGTTAGCTTTTGATAGTGGATGAATGTTAGAGCTTGTTTCTGACTCTCCGGTCTCTCGATGATACCGACTGGAGGGAGGGTAGGGTAGGGAGGGAGGTTAGGAAAGGAGGGAGGGAGCCCGAAGTCCTTAACTCCCGTACATACAAATACAATGGGACCTAACCGTTGGTTAAGAAAAAGACACGTCGATCAGGGAAAGCAGATTAGTTGTTTTTTATTTGTATAAAATAGCACGTGGGTCTGAGTTAATTACTCTAAAAATTTGAAGCATTCCCGTTAGATTGAATAATATATTTGAAGACTGTTGTTCATTTGTTGCAAAACGTTCTAAACGTATCCTTTGTAATATCATGAGTCCAATATCTTGTTCATTCTGTGACAAGTCTTTTGTCAATAAATATAGCCTGTCCTCTCACAAAA